TACCTGATCTCCAAATCCACCGAGATGGGCTCTCCTCTCATGTCCGTCATCAGCCATTACTGTAATCTCATCTCCTTTGTACTCTTTTACCTGAGTGCCGCAATCAACCCTATTCTGTACAACATCATGTCCAAGAAGTACAGGATGGCAGCTTGCAAACTTTTCAGACTGCATCATACCCCACGAAGAAGCACATCTGTGGTCAAAGGAGAGAGTTCCCTGTGCTGGACGGAATCCACTGCCAGCCTGTGATTCTGACAGACTGACTTTACCATTAACAGCCATTTCAGACCTCATCTACTGCTGCCACCATTTTGCAAGGTAATAGTTCCTCAAAAATCCACATGGATCTCTCATACATTTTCATACAAATCAGAGAGTAGTTTAGAAAGATTCAATTAATTAACAGCCATTCGTCCATTCCAAGCTCAGCATTTCATTAGATGCCTTGATGTTTTATAAAAATATGCTAATAAATAGAGACATAAAAAGGGAGAGGAAAAAGATAACTTCAGTTGCCTTAAATCTAAATGAAATCTGGAAGACAAAATTAGCACTGTAGATACAGCAACCTTATGCGCCCTGACAACAGGGACTGCAGAGGTGATGCCGTTCATTTGCATTGTGCCTGAATGCACGTCATGCTCCTTTAGCAAGTGTTGTCACATCCTTTATGTGTGTGTTCATAAGGCTTGGCTCCAGACCTGAAGCAATACACAGAATTCAAAAGCTTCTGAGGAACGTTAATTAAAAACAAAGAATTCCATTGGTGCATTGAAGTACTCAGACATTATAAAAGCTTGCTTTTTTGTCCTCAGTGTTTCATGTGCTAAATGTAAAACTATTGGTACTGAATTACCCAGTTATACAGAAGAGTTTTATTTAAAATCACTGCAATAAATGTTGTGACAGTATATTTGTGTTACATCCAGTAGTATCTGTTGTGGAAACTGCATGTCCTGTGTTCTAAATGATGTACAGTATAGAAACTTACATATTTGAATATTGTAAAATATGTAAATATACCCATGTTCCATTGGATATCCGTTGTGTTGGAAATTTTCTCTTGAAAATGATGGTTTTTTTTGACAATACACTAAAAAATAGTGTATATTGTCCCTCAAAAATTGCTAGGAAATTTCACAATTAATTACAAGGAGCATCAAGTAACAGTGAATTAAAAATGACATTTTAAAGTAGAAAGACTAAAATAGTATTTTCTTGTAAAACACTCTAGTAATCTCTTATTTACAACTTTGAAAATCATTCTTTAGTTTAAGAACAATGACAGTGACAAACAAGTTGATATACTATATATGATATATATATATATATATGTGTGTGTGTGTGTGTGTGTGTGTGTGTGTGTGTGTGTGTGTTTGTGTGTGTGTGTATATAAATAGATTTATTAAGAAATTAAGTTCTGTGTAATAAAGCATACATTAAACATGGAAAAAGTATTGAACACATGAAGAAAAGGAGGTGCAAAAAGGCATGGAAAGCAAAGACACCAGCAGAAATCTATCAGTAATTAGAAAGCAATCCTGCCCCTAGTCAGTGGATATTAATATTAGCTGATTTAGTCTGAACTGAGCTGGACGATGACATCACTGAATTCAATGATGAACTGCCTTTAACTGAAAATTGAGTGTTTACTATTGTCCTTTTGCATTGACACACTATTTTCCTATTTTGATACTGTAAAGCTGCTTTGACACATCTGTATTGTTAAAAGCGCTATATAAATAAAGGTGACTTGTCTAAAGCTGCTAGAATGGCCCAGACAATCACCTGACTTGAATCCAATAGAACATCTATGGAAAGAACTACAGATTAGAGTTAATAGAAGAGGCCCACAGAACCTTCAAGATTTGAAGACTGTGTGGAAGAATGGGCCAAAATCACACCTGAGCAATGCATGCGACTAGTTTCTCCATACAGGAGGCGTATTGAAGATGTCATAAATAAATTTCAGCAAGCGTGTTCAATACTTTTTCCCTGGGTCATTCCATTTTATTACACAGAACTTACTTTCTGATCTTATTTGTTTTGTTTTCTTTGTATGGATGGATTTATTACTTGGGTTGTTACCGACATCTGGTGAAAATTTCATGTCAACAGCACCTTTAGAAATATATTTACCGAGAAAAATGGTGACGTGTTCAATACTTATTTTACCCGTTGTACAGATGGACAGACAGACAGACCGATAACAGCTGGAATAGTAATTAAATCTAGGACTATGTGGTCATTTACAGAAACTATAATGGGTTCTTCAATAAATAATAAGGAAAGAGTGATGCAATGTTCATTTGAGATGCTCTTATTCTTCATCAGGATCAGTGGATTTTCGATTTCATGGCATCTTGTTACAAATCCTGCTTTCTTCTGTCCTGTGTCCATGTGCGAAGTCTGACTGTTGGTGTTTTATTGCTGTCAAATGAAGGTCAGAGCCTCCAGACTGGAGAGAAAGAGAATTAAAGAGGAGAGCACCTTCATAAATCAGTCAGATCTTGTTATGAGGCAGAAGGTGATGCTGCAAAATGAGATTGTCCATTCACACATGCCACTCCTGCCTTCCCTCACCATAAAACATATGAAAAAGAAAATACCACAGGCCTGATGAAGAAGGGGAGTATAAACACTCTTCAAAGTGTCAATTACAGGTCAATTTCAAATAAATGAGCACCATACCTGGACAATCCGCTTTTAATTATCAACTTCAATTAAAATACTCTCGCATTAAAAGTACAGGCTAATAAAACTCAGATTTTAATAAGTGATTGCAGTCAATTTCCACAAACATAACACTAAATGTCTTCACTTGCAAGACAGTTGTAAGCTGCAACTGCTTTGGCAATACAAATGTAGTGTGACCGGTCACGCCAATAAAGAGAACCTGAAAAGCAAAAAGGAAAATGGAGACAGAGAAAGAAACCAGCAACAAGGACTTACCACAAAAAAATACACCAACAGAATGTAACACAAACCTGAGAAGGATTGAAGCAAAACATAGCAAGAAGGTAGGCATCTATAATTAATGTAAATGGATAAAAATAAATGCTCTGCTATTCAGGCAATCTGATACTGTTCAAGTTGTTCAGGAATTATGATTTATTATTCATTAGAAAACTATTTATCATTTTACTCTACACCATGAATTTTTACACTGGCTTGTTAACGTTTCTGTATGAATAAGTATCTGCTTCAACAGGTTCATATGAAGCACTTTTAGTGGTGAATGAAATTGGACTAGCAGCTTCAATAAACAACATCCTTCTACGTCAAACACCTCAGTACTATCGCTGAACAGCCTTTAAATGTTTCCTACTTGGTGGGTTTTTGAGAATAAGAACATAATCTGAATTTTAGCCATGTCAAATATTGGGTTATGATCAGTATTTGTACTCATTGCAAGGGTTTTAATATTCATGACACGCAACAGACAAGAACCAATGAGTGACTTTAATCATATGAAAGATTAACATGTCCAGTACAAAATACAATTCATCAGAAAAAATTAAAACATTTATTGGGTATAAATATATTACATACACCCTACAGATACAGTGACGTCTTACATACATAGGGTAGTATTTGCAAAAATCTATACATTAACATTGATATGGCAGTTTCTTTTATATATATGCATAAGAAATTGTCTAACATTTACAATACGAGAAAAATGTATGACTGTATAAATCGTAGATCATGACAAGCCTGGAATGTTTTATATATCTTTCCTTTTCTTTTTTTCTTTAAACTGTGAGGTAAAAATACATACATTTTTTTGGAAAATAGTTGAATACACTTATGGTTCTATACATTTCTCTGGGATGACTGAGAGCTGATCGATCTCTAAACATCATGTTCAAATTCATTTTCATATTTTAAACAGAACACAAATAAAACAGAAATAAAATGAAATAAAATACAATATAAAAATACAAAACAAAAAACAAAACAATGCTTAAAAGAAAATGAATAAAAATGGAAATCACTGGTTAGGATCAAACACTACTTATACATAATGGGCAAAAAAAAAAAAAAACGCTAACATTAAAAGGACGCCAATGGACTTTCAGACTTCACACTAAATGTGTTCAAGCCTGTGTGGGCCAGTTTTACAGACATTTCTGACTGCATCCTCAATTTGAAAGCAATAGCAACAATGACTAGGAAATACAGTTTTATCAAGATAAATCTAATAAAGATTAATGTTTCGCTTTAAAAAAGTGCTTCAATTCTGTTAGTTGTCATACTATATATATCTCTATATATAATTCCTTAGCAAAAATACTGGAATAAATTCACTATTGTGCTAAGACATGTCTGGAAAATAAAAGGAAACGAGAAATATCACTTGCCCTCAAAACAGTTTGATTGTTTTGCTTTCCTTTCGGTGTGAAACGGCATGTAAGATTTCACCTCGGAAGGATTATTCAAATAAATGTCACAATTTTCACTACTAAAAAAAAGTGTAGTCACAGATGAAGTTGAACTTAAACGTATGTTTTTCCTTTTCAAGAAATGATGTTCTAGTGTCACAAAGGATTTCTCAAGTAACCCTTTAAATAACAATAAAAAGCAACATAAAAGTGGACAAGCCTCCGCTTTGGCAAACAGTAAGATAACATAAGCGTCATAACACTCTTTTTAGCAATGCCAAATGTAGCTACGTACTGTATGTCCCATTACACGCTCACAAAATAAAAAAGAAAACAGATTAAACATTTGCTACAGTTCTCTATGAAAAGACAACTAGCTGGAGTTCGGCACTTTCTGATAGAAGATGAACAGGCATTTGGTTATGCATAAATGTTTCAGCATGGTACATGCTACATGTTCCCAATTAATGAAAGACATAAACATAACCAGAATTATGAATGAAAGGAATGCTGGCCTTAATCGTTAATCTACAATAGAAATAACTGAAGTAAAAAAACACGCTGAGAGAGAGAGAGAGAGCAAGAGAGCGAGAGAGAGAGAGAGAGAGAGAGAGAGAGAGAGAGAGAATAGGACATAACTACATCTCTTAATTTCTTGAAAAATAAATAAATGAAGATTGCACTTTAATTGCCATTTAAAGTACTGTATGCAATAGACAGTATAAATAACCCTAAAGAATGATACCTTACTTTCCCATTAACTTTGGCAAAGGTATTCTGAGCTAGTAAACGATTTGCTTACGAACAACTGGAGCAAGGCACAGCTTAGGTGAGAAAACAGATCAGATAAATGCATTTAAAACTGCAGATGCAGATACAACGGAATGACGCTAGAGATGGCAGCAATATCAGAATCATTCGGCAACGTTTAGTGTTTTCGCAGCACCCTCTCAGAAACATAGTATTTACTTCTTCACCTCTAAAAAGTCCATGTCCCTGAGGTACAATACAGGCTGTCAGTCAAGCAGAAGAAGCCCTTCTCCATGTAGTTCTACTTTTTAGAAACCTCCTAACTGTTCTGCAAGTTAGGACTCTTTGGATCGACGGGAACTGCTGGTTTGTACCTTTTTCCTTGGCTAAAGATGCACCGCAAGCACATCAGGCTGTTTTGGCATGGCGCAGCGGGTGGAGGAACTCACTGCTGCTTTTGACAATAACCTTGATATGAAGCACCTTAGAAATGTCCAACTGGCTTTCACGGATTCAGAGAAGATGAAACATTCAACGACGGGCGACGGGAACACGACGGGCGAAGTCCTGAGGACCAACGCCATTCACAGAGCAACGAAACAGGCCATTTCGCTTTCACAGCTACACACTGGCTATTGTGACTCCCTGGATCTACAGACACCACACAGAGCCCAAAGTCAGTCTGAGAGGGCCACGTTAGCCTAACCAAAGTCATCCGGGGAGGGGGCGGGAAGGCGAGGAAATAGCCCTGTGTCACTGCACCTTAGGACTAGATGGCCAGAGAAAGAGGGTGTGTGGTGGCAAAGGGCGGCGTTTAACTTCCCTCACCCTCGTCCGCCACCACTACTGACCACAGATAAAGCACCATAGATTGTGAACAGAGAGATCTACTTCAAACTCATTGTTACTTATATTACAATAGCTCTTATAGATTTATATTTGTATCTCTATATATTAGATAACTGATTCCGTTCGTAGGAAAAATAAACACAATAGCAGCATCACTTAAACCACACTTGGATTGCAACTTGCTTTGGCAGCTTAAATGCAGGGGGCTTTACAACGGCCTTACTACGGTAACAGTATTTCGTGTTTCTGAGAAGGATCGTGGTGATGCGTACTGTGAGGTACAAGCAAAATGTGAACATCACGTGATTATGTATCAAAAAACGGCACTGGGTGAACTGTGGGTGTTACGTCATGATTAAGCTATGTAACTTGTGTGTATATATATATCTGTGAAACAAATGCACACTCGGATAAAACAAAGTAAGGCCATGAATGCGGAGAAAATACCGATACATTTTCCTCCCAACATATACGTACACTTAAAGGGATACAAAAAAACGAAGCATGCAAAAACAGGCTGTCGCGCAACTCTTCGTAAGGCTTGATGACGTGGTTTCGCTTCCCCGAAGAGTTCAGAGCGAAATTCACACGCTGTAAAAGAGTGAGTGACACAGCGATGCACAGGCAGGCTGGAAGGCATCAGGAGGGCGAGAGAGAGAGAAAAGAGAAGGAAAGACAAGAAGAGAGCCTGTATAACATACTCAGCCTACAGTACGTCGCGTCGGATGTATACTTTAAGTGTTCGTGTGTTTCTCAAAACGTTTTTTTTTTCCTTGGCTGGCTGCTGGTTCTGCGTTCATTTCGGTATTTTCACTTCATGAAGAAGTATTCCACCACAAAAGCAATGAGGAAAGACAGGGCCGCGAAAGCCCCGACTAAGACCGCCGCGAAGCGTTCGTCTGTGGCGAACATGCCGCTGGGCTTCAGGGTCTCGGGGGAGTTGAGCTCTCCGGGGAGGGTGAGCTCCGTGCGCCGCAGGGTGAAGAGCGAGGACGGGCTGAGCGGGCCGCACAGCTCCTGTGTGCTGTCCTGACACCGCCGACACACGTACACGCGGAAGCGATAGTCTGTGTTGTTCTGCAGGCCAGATATCTGGAAGCTTGCGTCTTCTCCCTTATATAACTGAAAGAGAGAGAGAGAACGTTTGTGAAAAATATAGCTTCATATTCTCAGACTGAGTAAAACATGTCCAACTGGACACCATCAAGAACTGTTTATGTTCCAGGTTCAATACAACTTCAGTTCATTGCATTTATGGCAGTATTTTCATGACCAAAGAAAATTATTTCAGTTATAATTTCAACATTTTCAAATGATGTAAACTATAAAGGAGGCCACCGTTTCTGTGGTTT